ATATATATATATATATATATATATATATATATATATATATATATATATATATATATATATATATATGTATATACATATATATATTTATATGTATATACTAGAATTATGACATGCTCCAAATGGCTATTAAAAGAATAGCACTGTTTCCATGATACTAAAACTGTTATTACCAAATTTTCAAATTTTGTTCAAAAAAATATTATATTGAAGAAAAACGTACCTGTTCCTCGTTCAGCTTATATCTAGTTTGCATCTCATTTAACTCCCTGAGCTTTATGATTGCCTTAGCTGAAGCTTGTTCGATACCAAATTGGAAGAAACTGGATAGCGGAACAAGTTCACTACGCGGTCGTTTTTTATCTGAAATAAAAAATTACAGTGGATAAAATTATACGAATTAAAACGTTATGCGTAAACTGCAGTAGTTTCACACAGCATGCTCTCCACTCCGCCCTTTTCTCAACTCATTTGGACCCATATTCATAAATTGATACGTTTGAGACGTTTGTGACATGTTTTAGGGATGATTTTATCAAAAAAGACGAACTTACCGATAGGTAAGCGAACATTTGGCACTACTGCAGCAGAATTTGAAACGTATGCATTTCCACCAGTGAAAGGATCGGCTGCAAATCTTTCCCCATCTGAAGTTTGACGATTCCCCGTTGCAGAAGGAACATAACGTCCTTCTAAAATCCAGACAGTAACTTTTCTGCACAATGTTCAAAAATATGACACACAGAGTACATTTCCTTTTGAAAAAATTTATTAAATATCGAAACAATTCTAACCTGTGAAAGGATCACTGAAATTACCAAATCCACCACTGCTGGCACTGCCGTATGCTCCAGGAACTTGAAGACGAAGAAGTGTAGAAACCTGGAATCTCAATTATTAGTTGTTAATATCTTCAATTATCAGCTAATAATTTTCCAGCACTCATATTTTACCCTTAATCTCTAACCAAAATTTTGAGAATATTTAACCGATTAAGTGTCCTAACGAAAGTTAGAAAAGCTGAAACTAACTTTCTCTAAAAACTTTATGGGAAGATTATGTTTTTCAATAAAACGTTGTGCTGCCCAATTCGTATCTTCACCCACGTTATACGGTAATTTCAAAACTCGTCCATCTTCAGTTGTTACATCAAATACATAATCCCATTCCTGAAAAAATTTCAAAAGTCAGAGAAACATTACAAGCTACCTCCTTCAGAACCAATCTGCAAAAAAACTCTACCTTGACCACAAAATAAACGGCATGAGACTTACGAGAGTATCAAAACAGAGCGCTTTGATTTAATAATTCCCTCAAGTTTAATCATTTATGTACGGCAACTTTAAGTTCTCTTGAACTTCGACTTTTTCTGTTTTCTGCAAAGTTGAAATTGGAAATCTTGCCTTCCCATCCACGAGAACTTTTTGAGTGGATTGTGACTGGGCCATTTTTTTATTAGTTGCTTGACGTGCTTCAGGTATATTCTCGATGATATACTGCGCAACTTCATTCATATACGATGCAGGTAAATTGTTCTCCTAAAACACTAAAAACCTTTAGACTTTACATTATATTTCCATGAAGCACAAAATAATGTTATAAATCGAATCAAAGAATGAAATGAAAGTGACCAACCATCAAAAATGTTTGCGCAGCATCATATGGATCTGATCCTTTTTTATATCGCAATTCAATATGTGGTTCCCCATCATCCAGTGCAACCTTGATTTTAACTACTTCATTTTGCTAAAAACTCATAAGTTGGTAAAGTTCGTTAGAAAAAAAGTACGAAGTACAAATACATTTTGGCTAGGAAAAGAAATGTATTTCAAATGTTGTCTTCAGATACGCTTACAAAAACGTTGCGTTAATGCAGCAAATTTTCGAGATCGCGTAACGCGCAATTAATCTTTGTATATCTGGATGCTAGCTTGAATATATATATATAGGCATTGGCACAAACTTGACCTGAGCAGCCATGACTGCTTCGGTTTCAGCAATTTTCTTAGCAACAGCACATTGGAATGATCCCATCGTACTAGCATCTGCTTTTCGACTTGCAACGGCAGAGAAAATATAAATGTTGCCATCACTGAAATAGATCGACCTTACCAAAATCCTTAATACACGATTTAACTTACTGAATTGATCAGCAAATCATAGTTTTACGAAAGTATTTCAATTGAACCCCAAAAAAAGATTTATTCAGTTTTGGATTTTTAATTTCTTTTATGATCAGTTACTCAACACTTACTCAGCACCGACAACAATATCACCATTTTTTAGAAAAGTAAGGGACCAAAGGCTTTGTGCTGGTGTCCTAATCAATTGTTTGTGAGTCAGTGAACCATCGTCATTCAGACCCCATATTTCCAGAAAACCACCTTCACCAGAATTAGCCATCAAATTATGCCCTGATATGTTAGCATGTGTCAAACTGAAATAAAAAATGAAAAAAAGTTCCAACAATTCGCAAATGGAAAATAATCATAAATGATGAGACAAGAGAATAAACCACTACAGACAATGATTTCAGTTATGAATCATCGTAGAGAACACTAAGCCATGTTCATTTGCTCATCGAATAAGGGAATCATTGGTTTTCTTCCGAATTTCACAAGCTGCGCTGAAGTTTTAATTGGTGTCACCAAGATGTGGATAACAATGTAATCTCATAAAACACCTGTATATATATTCTCCACTTAACGAACTATATTTTTGAAGGCAAGCACCAGAATCAATATCCCACAAACGAATCGTGAAATCATTAGCAGCCGAGAGGAACCTGTGTTTCGATAAGACTGCAATAGATCGTACAACATCGTCATGACCTGAAGAAAAAATGAAAAATGTTTCAAAATGTAATAGACGTTTTTCAAGTTTTCTGAGTCCGAATTTTAAATGTACTAAATCTAAAATTATGAAGAAATGCTCCGAATATAAAATTAAAATCACAGTGTGACTAAGGGTTGGACAAGAAAATTTAACGCTAGGATCATGTATCATTTTGCGAAATATCACAGTCGAACTAGCTTTACTTCAACCGGAAGTTTATGTAACATTTACTTCAACCGGAAGTTTATGTAACATGAAAATGACGTTAGAATTGAACGAACCAGAAAATGAATTTACTTCATTGTCACCTTGCCAAAATTTAATTGTCAAATCAGCTGAACCAGTAAGATAAAAGTCGGGTCGTTCAGGTATGGAAGCGACTGTCCAAACAGATAATCTGTGACCTACTAGACATAGTGCCTGTAAAAAATAAAATGAAAATTGAAAACTCTAATATAAAGAAATACAAAGAAAGAACAACTTGTATAAATCTTACTCAAAAATTCTACAGTTAAGTTTGAATTTCATCTCTATTTCACCACTTGTACACATTATAGTTTAGTGGCTAGCAGAAACAATTAAAATTCAATAGCATAACGATTACAATACATTTTTTACACTGTGAAATAACTGTAGGAAATATAAAAAATTATATTTAAAATTTACGGAAATTATAAAAAGTTCTTTAAGTATTATAAATGAAAACACATGCATTAAAACTCGAGCCGCTAACGATTTCCTGAATTGGCCAAATTATTGCATTATTATCCCAGGAGCCACTCATTAATTTTCCATTTTCAGCATCAACATGTAGCGCACAAACTAAAAATATCTGCACTTTTTTTCCTACTTTTAAAATCGCTAAACTCTTCCGTATTTTGCACTTCAACAGTTCCAATAAATTAAAATTTATTAGCACTAGTAAATAAGAAGAGCGGTTCTGTAATGTAGAAGGGAACGAACCGTTCATTTTATGCTCATGTAATATACGCGTCGGTTTATCGTCATTGGATGTATATACCGCTATTGAGCCATCTTTACGGCCAACAAAAATTAACCATCCATATCTTGGGCATAGATAAAATGCTACTGCATTAATAGCTAACCTCTCCACATTTGTAAATGATATATCCTCCATGTAAGCATTATTCCTGAAAATATTAAATTGGCAAAAACCCAGGCAATTAAAGAAATGAAAGGTTAACTTCAAATCATGGCAATGAAAATTCAAAGAAATCTCAACTACTTTTGTTCGACCCCTCCTTTCCAGTTTCTGGATTCTTAAATGAGCTGAGTATCCCTGTTCAGACCAAATTACCAAACGTACGTATTATACCAGTTTTTTTGTCTGTCAAAAATTTCTTCTTACTCGTCAATATTTATATCAGAAAAGACGAGGGGAAAAGCAAAAGGAATTTCCATTTGTAGATGATTTTCTGGGATGGATTTCAATCATATCAGTTTTTTTTTCTCTCTTTTTTTTTTAAAATCTGTCGTTGCAAAGGTGCCATTATTTCATTAACATCTCGTTGAAGTATCCATAGACTTAATTACTCAAATAATTTGACATTCGAGTATTTAAACATGCGAATGTATGTTTAAATATCGATTGCAAAAATGTTCTTATCTTTCAGTCCAAATGTTAAAACAAATGATAAATGGGCATTTTAAAATACATGTACATTAACGATGAGGTGCACTCGGATTACAATTTATTTATTGATTACTCAATAACGAGTACTTAGACGATGTATTCGGTTTTCCATCACTGAATGCTTGAATTATAGATCTAGCAATCACATAAAATATCCATTATTTAATGTAAAGTAATCATTGTACACCAACAATTAATGAAATATGTGCTTAGTTATTCCTTACCAAATCTTTCAATGTCACTTAGTTATGAAACTATTACATCACGCATTTTATCATTCACTAGTCAATAAAAATCAATAAATTATATCTGGTTATCAACCGCTAACTTATCATTCTAATAGTGTTTTCACAGTTCACTGACAAAATTTTGCCGTTATCTAATTATTTATAATTAATTACTGCTACCTGATGAGTTTTGTAAATGAATGAACGAATATAACCTTTCTGAGAAAACTTTAACGCTTCCATCACGACTACCGGAAATAATCTGTTCTGAATCGGTTTTAACAATACATTTTACATCAGAAAGATGCGCTGCAATAATGCCACTAAACTCATATTTTTTTCCACTTTCTTCGCGAACTTCCATAAATCTAAAATTTTTAATAAATTTCACGAAAAATTACAGTAACAATTTACAACAGTAAAATTACAATTTGCTGAGAAGCACTCGTTTATAATTAAAGTAATAAAACTAATGAATCTAAACATCTGAACTAACCAATTGCTGAATGGCAACCTTTCGAGATAATTAAATGGTAAACCTAGCAATCCAATCTAATCAATTAACACGAACCTGAAAATTTGTTCAAATAATTAATTAACGAATCGTAAAATTCTCTTAACTAGTCAACTAATCAGCGCAAAAATCTCCAAACTAACGAAGTAATCATAATAAATCTGAAATTTTACTTAAGTTTTTCATTAGATTTATTAAATAATTTATGAGTGTGAAAGTGTTGATAATTAATATGGCAAATAATTTGATTTTCTTATATTCTGAGAACTAATTAACTAATAAACCCAGTAGGCAGTCAAATCTCCATAAGTTACCAATAAGACAAAGACAAAAAATATATCCCATAACAAACAGCAGAAAAGAAAATATGGCCGAGCCAAACATTTCGACGTTTCGCGGTGTCGACTTAGTGCGGTTTTTGGTGTTTGGGAATAGTTATGGGGGAGAGAAGGGGAGGGGAAGTTTTATCAGTGTTTTCTTTTTTATCCCACTGAATGAGTTTTATTTTCCAGTCCTTGGAAATAGGACGGTTTAGAAGAGGGTGGAAGATTGTTAAGAACTGTTAGAGAATGATAGAGACTGATAAGAATTGGATAATCTAATTAAGATTATACTGAATATACTGTGTGGTTCTTTCACTTTTTTAAAAGTAATATAAAGGAATTTGTGACAGTTTTTGTACTTTGCAATGACAATGATGATTGGTAGAATGCATTTTGGTATAATAAATTAAATACTGATTAACTTTGAAATTAACAAAGTGATGAAATATATGAAAGTAATAATGGTAGGATATAGGACAGTAATAAGTTATAAGAGATAATCAAGGAATAAAATTCAAAGTTTAACTTTGACTGTAAAAAAGTTGTCATGTTGCATTGATTATTAAAAAAGATTGATTGTTATTTTGTGATATTAATATTTGATATATATATAAGGGTCTTTTGAAACATGTCATTTCATAGTTTGAAAAGTGCTAAGAATGAAATCTTTAACACATATTTATTTAATTAGTAATTACTCATTTGTTCTGACAAGTTTTGGATGTGAGTAATTTTAAGTCTAACCTTTGCATCATGCCGTATTTTCAATCCATTTTTTCCAAAATTTCATTTGAATTCATTTTCAATTCATTCTTGGATCCCAATTGAATTTTCAGAATAAGTTATTGATGAGTTCACTTCATAATTATGATTTTTCCAGAATGGAAAGTATTCTGGAAACTCAGCGACGTTTGCACGAAGAACGAGATCGCCTGATCGATAGTATGACCAAAGAGTACCTTCATGAACGCAAATCTGTTAGTTTGTTTACTTCGCCCTGTAATTTTGGTATGGATGATAATTCTGTACAATAATCGTTCTGTACAGTAACGGCTTAGTTGATTTATCATATCCGAAATATGGATTATTGTTTTGCAGTTGACCTTAGTTCTTTTTCTTGGCAGTGTTTACCCATTCTTTTCTTCTTTTTCGAAGTATTTTGGAATTTCTGAAGCATTTCCGCAAACAAAGCTATTGTTTCATTGCGTTTTTCTGGATTTAATAAGGAGATTTCATTTGCAGCACAAAGAGAAAGTAAATGGGGATCACCGTGTACGGCGTCTTGTTGATGTAAGTTTGTTTTAGTTAAGCTTATCTCAGGAGATTAGACATTTATGAAAATTTTTTGAATTTTTGTAGTTTGTGTGATATATGTTTTTATTTGATGATATTGTAGGTATAATTTTTTATGCTAAATATAATCTTTCTAAGAACTTTTGAGATTTTTTAGCAAAATTTTAGCCTTACGATTTTTAAAAATGTACACACCCTTCAGCTTACCCCACATTTGGTTTTGCAGGTCTTATGAAAAATTTTGCACTAAGTATAATAAGGCTTCTTTGCTTTGATTTAATTATAATTCGTTAGTTTGATTCTTATATCTAAATTTTCTGCTTACAGTCAAGCTTAAACCCATTTCTTATTCATTTATTTGTTTATCATCCATTTATTTTGTTTATTTCTTCAAATGTAATTAAAGTTGGTTTTATTTTTTGAATTCAGTCACTAGTCACTAATTGAATCCAGTTAGTAGTTGATTTCTTTATGTTTTTCATTCTTTAGCGACATCATGAAATTACAAAAAAGTTGCGTCTGACATATGAAGATGATGATAAGTCACGCAAATTGGAATTACGCGCCGTTGCTGGTCCAAACGAGTTTGCAGAGTTTTACTCACGTTTGAAATCATTAAAGGATGCGCATCGAAGAAATCCAGATGAGGTTTGTCAACCTATTTTGTTATATGAAAATAAGGATTATACAAAATTATCCAAGTGCTATTGGCGATTATTGCGTTTAACAGTATCATTTTTCGCGCTAATCTTTGTATCACCTCATGATTCTATCGTTCTATCGTAATTTTTCAAATGTGCGATCTTAAGACACCATCTTTCATTGGAGTTAGCTTTAAAAAATCAGTGCTAAAAAGTGACGTTGTCAAAGAATATCTGAAATATTACATGAAATATCCTATGACATTCTTATTTCTTTACTTGTAGAACTTTGTAAATTCCTTATAGATTGCTATACCGCTAAGTTTGGAATTTCAAAAAATGAATGAAGCTATAGAAAATATAGAACTAGCCGAAAAAGATCTGGTTGAGTTTACTGATGAAGAAGGTTATGGACGATTTCTGGATCTGCACACTCTTTACGATAAATATATTAATATTAAAGGAGTGAAGGTTTGCCATTTTTCAACTACTTGATGAATTATTGTAATTTGATCGTTAACCTTTTTTGACTTCCTTACTTTGTTTTATAATGTTCAAATCGAATTTCGTTAGAAATTTTATTTATCACATGAAATAGTAAACGGCGTGTTTGACGAAATATGGTCACAGAAAACTGTGCCGCTTTTGATCTGTTTGATCACTGTTTGATCGAGTTTGATTGAAATATGGGAATAATTATTTACAAATTAATAACTATGATGGAAAGCTAAATTTTGTAGACTAAAATAGAAAGTGTAGATCATATCATACAAACCAAATTCAAAACTTAAAGTAAAAATAGAATCATCACATAAGCATATGATTTTTGTGTTGGTTACCTCCATGTTTTCCCCTATTTGCTTCTCTGTTTTAAATCACTGAATTCAGATGTTAGAGATGCCACTTGTAAACATCCAGACAATGTGAAATTTTGAAACTACTTAATTATGGTATGTATGCGTAACGGAAGGACTTTGAGATTCTTATTACGGATGTTTCAATACCAATTATATTTCGCCGGTTGCTCCATTTTAATCCACTTTTTAGAGAATGGATTATTTGGCGTTCTTGAGCAACTTTGATCGTTGTGCGGATATTCCAGTGAGTTCAAAAAAAACTGGCAGCTACCGTGAATACCTTAGCGCACTGAAAGAATATTTAATTACTTTCCTCGCAAGGACACGTCCTCTGCTTAGTGTAAGTGAGGAATTTGAGAAAGTCGACGCTGAATTTGATAAAAAATGGGAAGAAGGTATGTTTGTTTGTCTTATTTTTTTTTAAAATTTCCTGCGTTGAAAATGCACGCTTTGGATAATACATTTTAATTTTCAAGAATGCATAGATTCAAATGATCAGAAATGGCGGTCATAATGAGAGCAAGTATGTATGTAGCTTTATCATTCAGGCACAGTCCCGGGGTGGAGCCGTGATCAGCATAGTGCTCTGGCGCATTCTGGTGCACACCTGGATCTTTCGTCATTCGAAACAGCTACCGATTTAGAAACACTTGGACTTGATCGTTTAAAATCTGCGCTTGTTGCGCTTGGTTTAAAATGTGGCGGGTTTGTTGAATTTGATTTAGCTACAAAATAACAAACAAAGAAAAAAAAAAGAGATTCATACTAAGATTTCGATTGGTAAATTTCGAATTTTACTGCACTGATTTTTGAAATACATTTCACAAATTGGTTCCGAAATTAAAATCGGTTGATTCACTTGAAGGACTGTTGATTTAATATAATAGCTTCCAAAATGAAACCGTTTCTAGTACGCTTAAAGAAAGGGCAGAACGACTATTTGCAACTAAAGGACATAAACTGAGTGAAATGGAGAAGACGGCATTAGCAAAGCGTCATGATACGGATCAGAAGGAACAATCCAAATTACACCAAACAGCACGACTGGAAGCATACATCCAACGGCAAGATATTTACTTATATGTTTATGCAAATGCATGGTTCTAGTGTTATGTACAATAGTTGCTATAAATATTAGTAATCATTTTCACATCCGAATAGTTTCAACGGGGACCATCAACTTGAACTGGTAGCAATATATTGCTTAAAACAACCATAAATAGGGTAAATACATTTGCTGAATACAGTAAATGAGTGCAGTACAGTAGAATAAATAATACAGTAAAATGCTGTAGTAAAATGCTATAAGTGAAATACAGTAAATTAAACACAATGCTGAATACAGCTTGATTAACTTGTCAGTATTTCGAGCATATAAAAACATGCAAAATTTTACTTGAAAGATGATTAAATTCCTGTGTATATTTTCACTTATCTTATTTACTTGATGAAGTTGCATTACCAAGTGTTAAAATACTTCAATATTTTTGATGTTCTTAAAGACGAAAGTATCAAAGGATATATGTATTCCGGGAAATGTTCACCTTTGTATGAATGCGATCCGTCATCGAATCTCATAAGAATATAGTTTACTTTCTACTATCAAAACCAACAGAAGAGAACTCTGATAAATAGGACGCGTTACCAATTTCATAACAAATGGATTATTAGCACTACTAAATCGAATTTAGGGAGATAACTGTTCAGCTACTTCTCGAAAAGATGATAGTGTCTAATTCTGATGAAGAGAGGACTAAATTGGTACAAAGGATTGAAATGAACTACATCCGCTCATGGCAGCACTTCAGTGAAATGTGAATAATTGTTTCCAAGTTTAACATGACAGTGTAACATGAAGATGATTTTCAGATTATCATCTTTGTTGAGCGATGAAAGAGAAGCCACTAAAGAAAATGTCGAAAGAAAGCAAGCACGGGGTGTCGGTGAAAATATGGAGGAAGAGGAAGATATAAACGACATGTCAGATGATGATGAGGATGATAGCATTCCATATAATCCCAAAAACTTACCTTTAGGATGGGATGGTAAACCAATTCCATATTGGCTATATAAGTTGCATGGTCTCAATATATCTTTTCCATGTGAAATTTGCGGTAATCAAGTTTACAAAGGACCGAAGGCATTTCAGCGGCATTTCAATGTAAGCAAACTTTTCTTTACGTGGTTTTTTTTTAAATTGTTGGTGAAATAAAATTTAAGCGCTGAGCTCCTTAGTGATTTCTAATTTTAATGCATAAATAACATAACCGATAAAATGACAATAATTCCAATGCGTTTGCTTTTTTTTTTCAATGTACTCTTCTTTAAACACGATTCTACTTCACATTTACAAATGTCAAATGGATAGTTCCTCCACAGTTGATTATCCACTTATAACCATTAATAGCTGTTATTAAGGTTTTTTTGAGTTGGAAAATCTGAATATTTCAAAAATTTCATTCACTTATATTTTTCCAAATTCAGGAATGGCGTCATTCGCATGGCATGCGTTGTCTTGGGATTCCAAATACGGCACATTTTGCCAATATTACAAAAATTTCTGATGCTGTCGAACTTTGGGGAAAAATACGACGACAAAAGGAATCGCTAAAATGGAACCCTGAACACGATGAAGAGTTTGAGGATTCCGCGGGAAATGTCGTCAATAAGCGAACGTTTGAAGATCTTAAGAGACAAGGACTTTTATGATTATATCAGTGTCTATTTCCAGTTCTCTTTATGAAAGCAATCCCCTCTGACCTCTATTGTTTTATTTCGTAATCATCAAATAAACGTGATAACATGTAAAAGGATAAATTGGTGTTTCCCAAGTGAATCAAATTGTTAAGATTTTCAAGGTCCATCCACTTTAGAGATCGGACGACTGCAAATAATAAGAAATGTTCTACACATTTTTCAGTTCCTATTATAATTAAAAGAGGATACGAGAGGCTAAATTTATCAGAATTTTTTTGATGTGTTACTGACTGCCACCTGAACTTTCGTCATAAAAGTTCGGCTTATTTTAATTTTGAAAGGATATATCTACCTAAAGTTTTCTCCATTTCCGTTTATTCCGTTTTGTCTGTTTTTTTCTCTTCCTTTTGATTTTAATAAAAATAAATTTGTTTGGTTTTGAGACTGCTAGAGTATACGGCCCTTAATAGAAATTTAAATTTCGCAGCAAACTGGATTTAAAATTCGTGTTGGTGATGCATTTATAAAACAAGAGTGCATTTAAATTTAATCGACGAAAGCGAGAAAAATGAGCAAACAAGCTAAGTATTGGTAAGATTTTTCGAAAAATATTTGATATTAAGAAGTTTAAATTCATATTTCTGAATCTAAAATAAAGATCAAAGATGAAATCTCAAATACAGAAACGTAAATATGAACACGAACACTAAGTGAAACAAAAAACGAAAGCATTAACTATCAAATATCGATAAGCTAACTGACTACAGTATCTTTAGTGCCCTTTTAGTCCCTGAGGCGCATCAAAATCGACAAATCTTGAACGTTTGTTGCAAATAGGTGTTCTTGAACCGCCTCTACAATTTCTTCTTGAATGATTACGTTTTCCACGTCTTCTGGATCGATAAATTGACGATGATATACCTTCCCGTGTGTTAGTTGCTTCCTCCTCCAACGGATCACCGAACACATCGTCGGTATCCTTGGATTGTTGGCGATGAGCCTGCTGGTCACTGCCGTGTAATGCTAAAATTTAATTTAAACTGAAAAAAACACGAAACAAAATCGATGTTGAACTTTTTTGAAAAAATTAAAAGATCATTTACAAGACCAATTAAAAGATTATTTATTTTAAAAGACCATAATAACGATGAAGTAATTGACGCACTACTAATTTGTTCTTTTCTTGGATTTCTTGACATAACACTATCTTTTCTGGCTCCAAACGAGGCTGGTATTCGTTTCTGTACAATATGATACACAAGCACTAAATGTTCATCAATTCCACGAAAAACTTCTTGGATCGGCGGTAAACGTTCATCGAAATTCAACTCCTTCAACTGTTTCTCTGTCAAATATGAATTATCCCTAAAATGAACTAATAAGGGATTTGATTTCACTTTTTTTTTTAAATTTGCGAATAGCGTAATCTGATAAACAACTTTCGACATTGATTCAGGAAAAGAGTATCGAGAATAGCTCCTCAGTGCTTCCTAAAATATATCTCGAACATATTATTAGAAATCGCCATAACATATTCAGAAAGACAACATTCAGGAATACTTAAAAAATTACATGTCATCTGTTGGGCGCAAAATTTGTAATTTGTTCGATTCTTTCCGAATCAAATAATTGCCCGGTTGAAGAGATTCTAATTTCACGATTATCTTTTTCAACCACTGTGTTCGTTCTTCAGCACTGTAACATAATTCAGTCAATATCAGTGCAGTTAAAACAATCAAGCTGAAAAATTCAAGCTAATTCAATCAATCAGTAGTTTCGAGGAAATTTAATTGTCAAATAATTCGAGATACTCCTGCAAAAAGCTCCATACATCACCGCACTCAAACTGCAATTATTTCAATTGTATTTTCAAGTTATTTTTCTATGAGTTTATTTTCTAAAGTGTTAAAGAAACACCAACAGTTTTCGTAGATCCGGTCGATTTGCAGTTAACATATTTTCATTGTAACGCTCCCTTTGAAGAAGATGCTGCTCCAAATAATGTATTCTACAAATAAATAAATGCGAACATTTATTTTCTTAGAAAAAATTAGCTGAGAGCATTGATTCCAAAACAGAAATTCACAATCAAATTTAAAGACAAAAATTTGTGAAAAAAAAAGCACAAGAACAATTCAATATTAAAAGGAAGTAATACCTTAAGCGAACAAGCTGTGAAGCACACTTTAATTTGCAACGAAAATAATCGTGTAGCCATTCTTCATCATCCACCCTCTGAAATGCAAAATAATTTAGAAAAAAAGAATATTGAGAATGGAAATCCAATATAAAAGAAAAGCTTATCTTCTCGCAACTTGCACGTCCGTTTTTTCCTTCCTTTTTCTTTTTTCTTTAACAGCTTGTTAGTAAGTATTTTTCCTCTCTGTCGAAATTTACGAAAATCTCAAACCTCAGCACCAAATTCGGCGGCATATTCAATCTTGTGAACAATACTCAGCTCATTCCCCATTCCATCAACACCATCGTTATTGGCTCGTATAATTAAATCTACATCTTGCATTCCATCATGCCCAAGTGAGAATAATGTATAACGTTTACTGAGATCAGCACCATTAAATGAGGGAAGAGCAGAATTTTGATCCATTCCTACAGTAAAATAATTTTAAAAAAAAATTAAACTCCTAACAATATCTTAATATTTAAATCAAATGTTCAGTTCCAGAATAGATCAATTTTTTATTAAATAATAGAAAAAACTGCATGCCTTTGCTAAAACTTTGATACATTTAAAAAATGTATCTATCCTAAAATTTAATACAAACCTCCATAACTGCTTGCAATACCAGTATCATTGGTGCCCATTTCATTCATGATATCACCAAGAATATCATCGCAAACTCTGAAAATAATCAATAGTGTAATGAGAAATAATAAATAAAATTGCAGAGAGAATAGTTCTTGTATGAAATGAGATCAGTAACATACATAAATGTGCATATATCAATCTGAAAGCCAAGATAAACAGGAAAGTTTATGATAATCGGAATACATTTAGAAAAAAATTTTTTTTTTAGAAAAAATTTAGAAAAAATAGTCAGATAAATTTAGATATATCAATAAATTCGTTTAGATCAGATTCTCTTCTTCAGTGCCATAATTCAAAGAAAACATACGGTGTCGTAGCAGACGATGATAATGATGATGATGGCACAGCACTGGTTTTTACATTTTGAGTGTTATTCACTTCTTTCCTGCTAATTGCATTTGACGGTAGATTTGAAGGTGTTTCCTCGCTATCAGCAACTTCATCAACAATTATCAAATTGCTTTCGTTATCTGCTTCTTAACAATATGAAAAGACTTTTGAAAAACGTACAGTATTTGTCACATATTTCATGATAAGATGATCTTATAACTTTAAATTAAAATCCAATTGAATTGTGTAAATATATCTCATAAGTTTGTTCGACTGTGTCAAAGATTCATTTCCTTTAAGCCTTCAAAATAAGTTATCCAAAAATTAAAAACAACTGTTAATTTGGTCACACCTTGTTGCATTTGATTAGTTTGTCCCAGTCTTGTACAGTTAGCTCGCTGACGCCCACCCGTTTTTGCTGACATTTTCGCATCCGCTTCTTTTTTTAAATCACCATGAATTGCTAATTTGACAGAAAACTTCAAATATCGTCGCCATAATGAGGGACCGTTGATTGACGTTTCAATGCATGGTTTACTGACAAGACATACATTTTCAAAACGATCTAAGAAAAAAAAGTCGCTCAAAATTAAAAATTGAACCTTTAAATCATATAATCCCTTCCGAAAAGGAAAAATTGAAAGGAATTTTCTGATCTAACAGGTTTTCAAAAGACTTTAAGTGTTAAAGACTTTAAAATTTTAAGTTATAATCGATTTCAAGTCTTTTATTGGCAACCTTCTACTAGATGAGGACTAACTAATGGTGATGATGGGAAGCGTTTATAATAAACTTTTAAAGCTACCACATACTCGTCCTTTCACTAAAGCTTCGTTTCACCACAACCGGCATTAGGTATGTGGAGGAATCAGCGATCCACGGATTACACAATATTTTTAAAGCGCTACTTGAACACATTACAACGCGTACTCCATATTTGACAGCTAAATGCAGCGCGAATTCATCGGATTCAAGGGGATACTAGAAACAAAAACAAAGACCCAATAAAATTAGCAGATATGAAACTATTTTTCTATGAGATAAGCAGAAATCAAACAGAATGAAATGTCCTTCGATCGTATCGGCTAACAAAAACTTTTAATAACCAAACATTAAAGAATTACAAACTTTTGTTTTTTCGGTTGGTGGATATTGCGCTGATATATCTTCCACCAAACGATTAAATATGAAACGACGTCTTTCATTTGGCAAAGTAATTTTCGGCACTGTACCCCGATAAAGTACTGCTTTTTTGGTTAAAACCGTTAAAGCATCAACTGCTAAATCCTTCATTTCTTCATCATAGATTGGTGCACTATATTGACAATGCAGTGATGAAGCACGAGATCTTAACCGATCCTAAACATTCACAAATTATAACAATATATAGTGAGATGAGAAAGTAACTATTTTACTAAGCTTCTTTTTCGCATCTCTAAAATAATTGCAGCCCAGTTGGATCATTAGGTATTCTAAAATTTAATATTTTGTATATCGAAAATATGCATCAAATACACCATATTTCTTCAGAAAAGTTTCTGAATAGTGAAGTGATTTATTATGGAAGGTTTATTCATTCAAAATTTAAAGTTGCTTTCGTTTTTGTAGACTGCCCTGCAATTGAGCATTATAGATCAAATGTTATCATACCAAGATATAGGAGATAGCTCGTTGATTGCTACAAGTATATACTGATTTTTTTCTAGAACGGAGGCTTTGTAAAACCAATTCTTGGTATTGTATACGCTCATCCTTCAACTTTTCATCCATAACCTGCAAAGTGTGTTAAAACTCTTAAAATGAAATAAGAAAGCTGAACTGATACACAACATTGACTTTAATATATGAAATAAACCTAACTAGAGCATTGCTATCCCACTTCTTCTTAGCCAAAGCATTCCTATCCCACTTCCTAAGTTTACGTTTGATCGCATTGTAGGTTATAATAGTTCTATATTCAAATCTATGTCAGTTGCATATCTAAGATCAAGTTTTGATACGAAAGCTCTTTATCCAAATATTAAGTTCTATTAGCACTGACAGGTCAATAAAAGATTTTATCTCGAAAAACACTCATGTTGTTTCCTTAAATATTACAGAATGTATTCATTAAAAATCAAATAATGTAATTATAAGTAAAAAATAGAACGGATTATTAAGTGTATGCGTGTATAAGTCAAATACCGACTCGCACTTCCTGCCGATTTTGTTGAAAACGTGGTTGCGAATGATTAGCATTCAGAAAGTTCGCTACAATGGCCACATAGCGCTGATGATCTATCGGCCTTTGAACAAGAGAATGATATTTTCTTAATATTTTTGGAAATGGTGGTGCCCATGGCATATCCTCTCGGTCAATCTAAAAAAAAGATTAGTTCAAATATATCAAGGCAATATATGTTTGAAAAAAAAACTGGAATTTTTGTATGTATTGATTGCTAATTCGGATAGAAAGATATCCCAAATTCTAAATCTGATTATTTCTTAAAGAGTATTGAAAAGTTTAGGACTTGACCATCAGTGTTAAATTTTATCAGTGTTAAATTTTAATCTTAATTTCTAGTTCTATTTCCCTTGAAAAAATATCACGAAAATGAGATATTGTAAATCGTACTTGGACTTTGTCATCCTCTGATTTGGGATGAGCTTTTTCGCGTTGCTTTTCAACATACTTCTGCAGTGCCTCCTCTCTGAAAATTAATAAAGCTACGTCTGAAAGTTAGCGATTTTTGTCCATAGCTGAATAAATTAGATAATTACGAGATTTAGAAATATCTATTTGACCTCTCTGCAACGAAATGTGTTACAGGATTGAAGCGACGTGAAAAAAAAAGAAAGAGACGAGCACATAAACATAAAAGAGTTATTGATTTCAAGCTCAAATTCTGCAAACAAATTATTCCATTGTTTAAAAGAAAAGTGCAATAATGAAGACAATTACGGCATCCATACAGTGTACAAAAACAAATGCGTATGTAAAAGAAATAAGGAATACGCTGTACTGTTTGTAAATATAATTCCATCTAAAATATTACAAGGAGAAAAAAAAATCAAACCATCAATGGAATTATTTGTTCTTGTACTTACTTCGAAAAACCCTGCTTGGCCAATTTATGAAGTGCAATGTTAGTTGGTATTTTTGCCTCTCGCTTTCCTGATTCCTGTTTTCCCGATTTAGTAGCTTTATGGCTCGTTCTCGAAACATTTGGTACTTCATCTTCTTTTCTCCACTTTCTCACCTTCCCGATGCTTCCCAGTTTTTCATCTTGCACGCGTGAGCCAGAAGCAGTGGTAATTCCTTGCTTTTCTTGAGTGAATTCTTTTGATGAGATTGATTCATTATTATCCAATTCATGAGCCTTTTGAAACTGACCCCCTTTGTTCGTTTGTTTTCCATGATCAGAAAAAATGGACGAAAAATTTTAACCTTGGATAATTTGTGGTAACTACAATTTAACTGAGTAATCTTTTCTTTTTTAACAAATTTGACTTTTTTTTAGATGAGCTAAGTTTTACTTTATTGTGAATATGTATCAAATTTGGAACTTAATGTTTGCTAATGCAGTGATATGAATACATGCAGAGAAACTGTAAAGGTCAAAAAGAAATTATGAGGGGACAATAAAACCCTTACAGAATGGAGTGATTTTAGCAATTACAAGGAAAAATCTAAATGAAACCAAACGAAGCTTATCCTCGTTTGGTCATATTCTATTCAGCATACTTTGGTCATAAAGAAAAGAGATCATTCACCAAGACTAATTAATAAGGCTCGCAATATCAGTTGCCAATCACTTCAATTAATCTGTCTAATTGGTCTGATAATTCATCAATAAATGTATGGTAACAGTAATAAACCAAGAAAATTTTACTATTTTCAAAATTTTACTACAAGACTCACCACTTTTTGATGGCAACATCCAATACGGTAAACTATTTACAAACAGAATCTCCTCGCCTTTTGTTTTTTCCAATATTTGTTCATCACGGCATCGATCACAAAATAATGCATTATGTGAAATAATGGTATTTAAGTCGGCATCCGGATTTAGGAATGGACAACGTGAAGCAGCCTGTGAACCACGCCATTCTTCGTCCATCGAACTAAAAAAAAAAAGTCAGATTCCAATATAAAAAAAAAAACTAAATGAAATTTCAAATTTATCAAGCTGATTCAAATTTGACAAATTCAATTTTAGTTCGAATTTGACAGATTTCCACGAAAGGAAAAACGAGAAGTAATTTAATTATCAAAATTCTGTAACTTGATCAAAATTTTCGAATCAGTGCAAAATTACGAATTTACATTCTTTCGAAAAATGATAGGTGATTTGATTTCTTCGAAAATATACTTCATTTATTTAATCGTTCTACAAATTATAAATTATTAAACGGTTACATTTCCGTATTTAAATAACAGAATTAAACATAAATTATCAAAATAATTAATGAAAAAATGACAAAACTAAACATTAATTAGCATATGCTATGTGAGGAATACACCAACATTAGCCATCTAATGTTAGCAGGAAAAAAGGATGAGCTGCGAAATAGGCATTAAACGGACGGGCCACGTAGTGTAAACATTGATGACTCGAATTTCATATAATTGAAAGTTTAGGAGAAAAAAAGAAAGGTGTAATTTCAGTAGTTTTGATTTTACTAATTTGTGAAATTTTCAAATTTTATGGTAAACTTTTGTTTTATTTCATGAATGATTGAAATAACATTCTAGAAGTTTCTCGATGACATCCAATTAATCGTAAAATAGTTGTTAAACTTAATTAAATTTCAATTTTCATTGGCATTAACTTCAAAACGTATGTTTAAAATTTAAATTGAATTTCGTGCTTCTTTTCTCAACAAACATTTCACAAACTTAAATTCTTTTAAAAAATTTATTTTGCAATATATTATGACGAAGAAAGAAAAAATCAAAATATATGCAAATTAATCAAACTTTTCGTCTGATAAATTTGCATATATTTTTTTGCTGAAATTAATTTGGAATAAGCCCCTTGGAAAGTGAGAATATTTTGCGTACATTCTTTCATATAATTATTATGCCTATAAAAAGGACAGTTTTTTTTTCTTTTTTTTTTTAACAAACTTCGGTTATGTGAGAAATTGTATTCATGGCAAATAACACCCACTGGAGTTTTATTTTCTCTGTTTCATTCGAAATTTTTAATAAATAATATCATAAAGTTTCTCGCTTACTTAATTTTTATTTTCACTTTCATTTAAAATTTTCTCTTTTTTTTTTTGTGTCTTTCATTTTCATCAATTCCTTCTTAGTACTATGATTGTAAAATTTGTCAAAACTTTCAGTTTTCACTTTACACTGCAAAAATTGTCAAATGATGAAGTTGTAAAACTATTTTAAAACTTGTCTGGTAAATTTTTTCTTTCCCGTTTTCTTTTTTTTTTCTCAAAATCTTTTTGTTGTCTTTAATGTTTAGCATTTCTTCTCGAAAAGTTCCAAAATGAGGAAATATTAAATTATAATATTTTATCATTTTGAAGGAATCTTTTAATTGACAGAGCTCTAAATAATGCAGTGATATCAAAATAATGCATATTCTAATATCATATATTACATTATTAAGAATATGAATATTTTTTTAGCTTATTGATTAATTTATCAACTAAATATTCGGCTTATTGATTAATTTATCAACTAAATATTCGGTGGAATAGCTTTCATGCTTAATGATGATGATAATAATGATTAATATTATAATAATAATAATAATAATAATAATAA